TGAAACCATGCATTGATGGGTTCATAAGTGGTTGTAGGCCATACTTAGTAATAGATAGCACTTTCCTAACAGGCAAGTTTAAGGGGCAGTTAGCTAGTGCTTCAGCTGTTGATGGCCACAATTGGTTATTTCTTGTTTGCTTTGGAGTTTTTGATTCTGAAACAAATGATAATTGGAAATGGTTCATGGAGAGAGTTAGAGAGGCCATAGGATCACCAAGGGGTTTAACCATATGCACTGATGCTGGCCAAGCAGTGATGTCAGGGGTAGGTGATGTGTTCCCAGAGGCAGAACATAGGGAATGTATGTTTCCCTTGGTGTCCAATTTTAAGAAAAAATTTCATGGCAAGGTTTTTTATGACCACCTTTGGGCAGCAACATACTCATGGAACCCATATTTGTTTGAGAAACATTGGGCTACAATGGAGGCAGCAAAGCCAAGTGCTACTAATTACCTTAGGAAGTGGCACACTAGGCTGTGGACAAGGAGTCAGTTCTCAACCATTTCCAAGGTTGATTATGTAACCAACAACTTGGTTGAGTCCTTCAACAATTGGATTAAGCACCACAAGTCCTTGAACTTTGATGACTTAATGGACAAATTAAGGCAAATGCTTATGATCAAGTGGAACCAAAGGAGAAAAATAGCAATGAAGTTAGATGGCTTGATTCTGCCCCACATAATTAAGAAACTGAAAGAAATGAGTAGAGAATTAAACTTGGAGGTGCTTGAATGCTCAGAAGTTGCTGAAGTTACAGCATTGGGGGATACTGGCTTTAGGTTTGTTGTCAACTTGCAAGATAAGACATGTTCATGTAGACAGTGGCAAGTTTCTGGCATTCCTTGCAAACATGCAGTAGCATTTATCACATCACTTCATAATGCTCCTCTAGAGAAGTATGTAGACATGTATTACTCTATTGACAAGTTTAGAGCAGCATATCAGCACTTAATCCCTGCTATGACTGACAAACGCCAGTGGCCTAAATCTACACATGGATTTTTCATGCATCCACCTCTATTGAAAGCAATTGCTGGTAGGCCAAAAACTGAGAGGTACAAAGGCTGTAGTGAGAATAAGAGGAAAAAATGCCAGCACCAGTGCCCTATTTATACAGGCTATGGCCATCATTGGCACAACTGCAAGAAAGGTAATCCAGAGGACATTGCTGCTATGATGGCTGTGAGGTACTATACATGCTAACTACTTTATTGTTGATTGCATTTTCCTTTTGGCATAATATAGATTGTAACTACTTTCTTCTTTATCATGTAGAGGACCACCTAAGAAGAAGGCAAAGAAAACCAAAACAACAGAGTCATCCATTATGCCTTTGGACAATGAAGCACCAGCAACTTCTATGTCTTTTCCACCAAGGTTAGCTCATGATTTTGTCTCACTTTTTCCCACAACAACCTGCAAGTTTTAAAGCACTTTACTTTTGCCATGTTAGCCAAAATTTGGAGACAAGTACGAAGAGTAAGGATAACCAAGTCATTTCTAGTATTGGAGCATCAAAAAGCGCGGAGATTACATCCAAGAAAAAGGCAAATAAGGGCAACTCTAGTTCTAGAGCATCAAAAAGGTAATACACAGATTAAAAAAAGGTCACACTGCTATTGCTATTTTGTTGCTACTGTTACTTTGTTGTCTCTTGTTCAAATCTAGTTTTGTTGTACATAGGTCAATATCAGATTCAAATGAACCTGCGCCTACTGATGCTCCAGTCAAGGCAAAGAGCAAAAAGAAAAAGGAGCCTACTAAAAAGAAAACCACCATTCCTATGCTGCCACTTGGTAGCCCTGCAATGGGCACAAAATGCAAAAGGGTGGATCCTGCTAGCCCTGCAATGAGCACAAGAAGCAAAAAAAGAAGGCGCAGCCTATGATCCTCATGTATCTGTGAATTTAGACTCCGCTTTGTGTGTGAACTTGCACGTATCCGTGAACCTTTGTGTGTGAACTTGCATGTGAATTTGGACTCCTGTGAACTTGCATGTATATGTGAACCATTTTGTGTTTGAAGTTAATGTGGTGCTGGTCTGTGAACTTACTATATCATGTGTCATCATCATGATGTGTAAATGTTGAAAAAATAGTTGTTAGAAATCATGCTGTATCATATCTGTGACACTGCTGTATCATGTTGACAAAAAAAGAGAGCAGCCAGTGGCCAGATACGCTGCATGCTTGCGTCCGCGCCTCTGCATGCGCCCAGCGCCTGCTGCATGCATGCACCAGCACCCAGGGGCAAAAAGGTCTTTTTAACAGCCACTTAACACCGTTAGCTGATGGATTTGACTGCGGTGTCATATTAGGGATGAAAGTTCAAGTGAGTGTCAAATAAGTAACGAAGAAAATTTCAGGGTCAAGAAAGGAACGACTCATTTTCCCAGTGTCAAATAAGGAATTCTCTCTTGAATGTTTGGCTGCGGTTTTGCCGTATTTGTACAAGACTTTGGCTGATATATATACTCCCTTTCCGAACATGGTACTTGGCGCCAAAGGGTCAAAGGGTAAAGAATATTTTACCATATGTCTTTAGGTGCATGGTGAAATAAATCAAGGGTAAGGAATATTTTACCATATCATATAATTATTTTTTCTTATGATAGGAGCTGTTTGGATTCCTGGAATTGAATCTCATTCCAATAATCATATTCTAGCAATTAGATTTTTTTCAAGAAAGTTCTAGAAAGGATGAGCTAAAAAAAGTCACAACCTCTTAGTGGCGTCGTATGACGTTGATTACAAAGCAATATGATTGGCGACCGACGCCAGCAATTAGATTCACTAGTATATATAGATTCTTCATCACCGTTGGGTGGGCAGATCCCATCATCATCTTATTGGTGATAATCAGCAATAGAGGTTATAATCGACGGTTTGCAACCAGCGGTGATAAGTTTATTTCACCGCCAGCTTGAGTAACCACATGACGGTGTGACAAATTGACATCACCGTTGGCTGCAGTATCCGCCCGCTGGTGAAAATCAATTTAAGAAAAAAAAACAGCCGTCAACGCTGGAGATGCCGGACTAGTGTCATGGGCCCACTACAACGTGAGGGCCACCTCCGCACTGAGATGCCACCGCGGCGAAGTCGGGGGCGGCTAACACAGCTGCACCGAGATCTGGTGCAGCTGCACCGGGGGCTGCCACTACCACAATCGAGATCCAGAGGCCGTGGGGTGCTCGTGCAGCAGGGTGCCGCTGCACCTGCCTGCCTGCGACGGGCATCCTGCACTCCGTCCACCCCCGGCCCCCATGCCAAGGCACCACGAATGGATGCGCCCACACTGGGGCGCCGCCCGCGCCAAATGGTTGTCGACGCCCGGAGGGAGGGACAGCAAGGTTCTCTCGCGGGAAGGGAGAAAGAGAGGAAGTGAAGAAGGGAGAGGTAGGCTGAGAGCCCTGGGAGGATGGGCGAATGGTTCCACGTCAGCCAGTCAGAGAAAGAATGCGATCAGAGAGGGAATCAAATGTGCGGGCTGCTCCAGTTTTTCACCATCGGGTCTTTTCTTAAACCGGTGGTGAAAATAATTTTCATTGTCGGTTCAAGACAAGAACTGGCAGTGATATGCAAATGTTTTAATAAAACCAGCGAGGATGCCGCTGAAAAAACCCCCATATCTGTAGTATTAATTCTAGAAGAAATGATTACCTACTATTTGATTAAATAATCCAATTTTCTTGTTTGGTGGACATGGAATTTTTTTCTTAAGACGGATCAACATATGGTGAAGGTTGAAACGTTGAGGATGACGAGCTGCTGGGGAAGAGGTAGCTAGCCTGAGGCAGATAGGTGATTGGTGTCTGTGGCGTTGAGGATGAATGCTGCCGGGGCAGAGGTTACCAAGCTGAGGAACCAAGATGGGTGAGCAGAGGTCACCGGCGCATAGTCAAGTTTCTGGGTCGATGCGGTCGAGGTACGGGGTCGCGATACGTGGTACACTACTCGCGAGAGATTTTTACACTTCGGGTCAAAAATGAACCCGTGAACCTGGATCGGTGTCGACAAACCCAGGTCGAGGGTCGAAGGTGGTGAACCCATTTTATGTGACTATGCACCGGCGTCGAGGATGACACGGGATCTTCACTCGCTCGCCTGAGTAAGTGCATACTACGTAGCAGAGGAATGAGAACAATATCGATGTCTTGTCTGGAACTGGCAGGAAGTGGAGGATTGGGGCAATGGAGGAGCGGACACTTGGAACCCTAGTCACCATGGTGTAGAGGAGAGGCGAGAGAGTAGATCATGTGTGACAAGGCAGTGCATCAGGGCGAGTCGGGGGACAGAATAGCTAGCTTTCTGGTTTTCAGCCCGTGAATTTGCTGCAAGCTTCCGTTTATCGAATGGCCTAGAATCTTTGCTTTCCAATTCACGTGACAGACAAACAGGCCAGCCCATGAAATGGTTTCCAATTCGACCTGATTCCGACCATTCAATCAGGCCCTTAAGTGTTTCCCACTCTGAATGACTGGTTAAGCCATGTTGCTGGTTCAACAAAGATTGATACTCCTGTATAGAATGCATGTCAGCTTAATGTGCCCTTGCATCTATTTGCTTTGACTGCTGTTTATGAAACGTGAAGAGTAAAAACTGCGACCATATAAAACTATAGACCGGTATGTTGAGACAAATATGCCATCTCACGCCTTCCTTCTGGCGCTGATAAAATCGTTTTATTACTCGTCGTTGAGGAATGAGGACCCGCAACTCCCGTTCTTTTATTATAGTATTCCCTCCATTCTAAATTATAAGACGTTTTAGTTTTTTTAGACATATAACTTTTGTTATACACCTATATATATACTATATCTACGTATATAATAAAAACAATATATTAAAAAAGCCAAAATATCCTCTAATTTGGAATACGAAGAGTACATGTGATACATTTAACAACGAAACAGGCAATGGCAAAACACTTCTTCACACCTAGTTTCCACACGCAGATTATTCACGCATGCAGTGTACTTGAGTTACATAGATATATCTATGGGTAGACCTCAATAATCGATCGAACACCTAGAACAGGTATGATCTTGTAAGAGCTAAATCCAGCTTCAAAAATAATCTTCTTCCACTCTAGCTCATCTCGCTCGGCACCATTGATAAACATCATAAAGAGATCAAACAAGATCTGCGTCTCCACATGCTTCTCGTCGGATGACCCTGCTCCAACCACCATATCCAATATTATCACCTTCCCTCCTCCTTGAGATGCTATGGCCTTCTTGCAGTTCTTCAATATCTTGACACATTCGGCATCACTCCAGTCATGCAGAATCCACTAGAACCAAAAATAATAATGGAAGTGACTATCATCACGATACTCAACAAGAGCACGATTTGACAATTATATGGGCGTATACCTTCAGGAAGACAGAGTTTGCCGACGGAATGCTCTCAAACATGTCACCGGCGATGTACTTCACATCGGTGTCAGTGGGAGCATTGGCGACAACGTGTGGGAGATCCAGCACGCTGCACTCCACATGCGGGAAAGCCTTTGCGATGGTCTGGGTAGCGCCGCCGAGCCCGCCGGCGACGTCGACGAGGGAGCTGCTAATCCCTTGGAAGACGTCGCCGCACTCCTTGACCACCACGTCCATGATGAAACTGCTGTCCGCGACCATCCCGTCGTCGAAGAGCTTGCCGAAGCTGGCGTCGTGGTCGGCCAGATCCCATATATGCCGTCCATGCGCAAACTTGAAGGGGGACGGGTCCGGCAACTCGTGCCGGAACCACTCGCCGAGGTCGAACAAGGAAGACACAAAGACAGTACCAAGCATCAAGGTCAGGAATGGAGTCACGTTCATCCCCGAGCCGACCAGAAGGCGGGACGCCGGCGTGAGTCCGTAAACAGCACTACTGGAGGGCCCAGAAACCCTCGGCAAAGGCTTTGCCGAGGGCTGCCCTCGGCAAAGACCCCTCGGGAAATTTTAAACGGCGAAGGGGTCTTTGCCGAGGGCCCTTTATCGGGCACTCGCAAAGCCTTTGCCGCGAGCTAGGGCGACCCTCGGCAAAGAAAAAGAGGCTGTCGGCGCCGAGCGCCATGATGGCGGTTTCTTTGCCGAGGCCCACCTAAACAACGAATGGTTTTTTTTTTTTGAATTTGTTTGCCGAGGGTCGACCCTCGGCAAATAAATTTTTTTATTTTTTTTAAAAACCTTTGCCGAGGGCCTCCTCCTTGGCCCTCGACAAAGAAATTTTCAGGATTTTTTTAAAAATTCTTTGCCGAGGGCCGGCCCTCGGCAAAGTCGGCAAATAATTTTTTTTATTTTTATTTTTTAAAACCTTTGCCGAGGGCCTCCTCCCTGGCCCTCGGCAAAGAAATTTTCAGGATTTTTTAAAAATTCTTTGCCGAGGGCAGGCCCTCGGCAAAGAAATGGTTTTTTTGAATTATTTTTAACCCTTTGCCGAGGGCCTGCTCCTTGGCCCTCGGCAAAAAAATTGTCAAGATTTTTTTCCAAAAAAATCTTTGCCGAGGGCTATTGCTTGGGCCCTCGGCAAAGGACCCTTCTTTGCCGAGGGCCTTGGTCATTGCCCTCGGCAAAGAGGCAGAAATTAATTTTTTTTTTGCATTCCATCGACACAAGCATTTCATATATATACATATATATATATATCACATATAACCCATTTTCTCATAATATATCACAACCATAATTGTGAACCACAAATCACAATATATTACAACGACAAGTCACATGTTCATCATCATTCACATGTTTATTACGACAAGTTAATGAAATCCAAGCACAAGTCACAAACATAAATCACAAATCACGCTAAAGTGCAACCACATCACCTAGCACGAGTCCTCATCAAGCTAGCCTATGAGACGATGGTGAAGGAAAAACAGGATCACCCGGTGACGCACTAGCGGGTTGATTGGAACCCGCGGACGGAAGCTGCACAAAGGAGCAGAGATTGCATGTGTGAGTAATCCGGGAAAATAGTTTTGGAACTTAGAGATTGCATCTAGTATTGTAGGAATAAAAAAGATTAGACTCAATTGAAAATTTTGGCAGCACCTCCCCTGCACGGGGAGGTTTCCAAAACCTGCAAAAAACGACGGCACGAACGCCGACATCCACAACGGCACGAAGGCCAACATACATGCAAAGCACAAGCGAAAAGTGAACTTTCATACTTACAGGAGTAGCTGCAGGAGTAGGAGGTGGAGGAGCTGAAAACTGCACAGGTACACCCGATGCTTGCCCAAGACTTTGCATGATCACCATCATCTCCGCCATCTCGCTTCTGCAGCGCCCTCGAACGCGACCTTTACAGGCTCAGTAGTCAGGCGGTCACCCGCTGCTCGCTCTTGACTTTGCCTTTTTGTTTCTTGCAGCTCGGCCTACAATATTTCACTCCAATGTATCAGTAATGCAAATCTAATTTAGGTGTGTAAATATCTACGTACGATGAGTAAAACAAGAATTACCTGGAGTGCTTGGACCTGCTGCAGTGCTGGAGAAGGCCGTGGATGTATGGGCTGGCTGGAGCTCGTGCTCCGTGATCGGATAGCGTCGAGGGAGGGAACAGTGGTGGAGTCGATGGCGCCGTCTGCAATCCACAGCCGCCCGTGCTTCTTGCCTCCTCCGAGCCTCATGATCGCCTCTGCATCAATGGGCTCAGTGCGCACAAGTTCGTCGGCAAAGTGTGCTTCTCCGGTAGCATGGTGCCAAACACGGCCAACATCTTATCGAAGCCTTCTCGACTCAGGTTTAACTCGGCCTTCAACCCCATTACGCGTCCAATCGCATCTAGCTGAGAAATCATTGTACGCTCGTGAAGGGGTTTCTGTGTCGAGTCCAACATTTTGTAGAAGTCCTTCGCGGATTCCTTCATCTCCTCCTTCTCACGTCGTTCAGTGAAGTGAGCTTGGTGGGCGTCATCTAGCATGTCTGCTACCCCGGCATCATCATCAAAAGCCTCGAGGCGTGCTCTCACCACCTCCGCTCTCATACGATCTGCTTCACCATGGTAGATCCACTGCTGGTAGCCACGCATATAACCATTGAACACAAGATGTCTACCCATGGTCTTCTCGTCTACTTTTCTCCTGTTGTCACATTTGCTGCAGGGACACCAAACTAGAGAATGTCCTCCTGCCCCTGGGCCAAATGCATGTTTCAAGAAACCATCTGTCCCCTTCACCCATTCATAGTCGTAGTCACTCCCGCTTCTCCAGCCCGTGTACATCCACTGACGGTCCTCCATCCTTTAACATTTACAGCATAGAGTATTGTGACCATCAATTGCATCTACGCGGTTTTCCTACTGTCTAATAGGTGGGATAGGTCCTAATCCCACCCGTGGATGCGTAGATGAGGTCAGTTTACATGCTCCGCTCCTCTCCGAGACAGAATTTCGGCAGCACCTCCCCGTTGTTCTCCCGATACATGTCCTGTAAGGGAGAGTGTGTATCCGGAGAACAACAGGGAGGTGTTGCCGAAACTCTTTCTCGGACCGGAGCGGACCATGGAAACTAACCCATCTACGCATCCACGGGCTGTCCAAAAAACGTGGATAATCCGAAACAGATACGCTTGCAGATACGCATAGATCCGCATACCTACGACCGTATCTCTTTCGGACGGGAGACGCCTAACTGGGTTACGCGCGGGCTACGACAGACATGCGCAAAAAGAGGTTATTTATACCAAGGGTGTCGGTGAAGTAAGGCTAAGCGGGCGTTGGCGAATCGATGCAAAGGGCGTGGCGACCACGAGGCGAGCGCAAACCATGACGTTACGCGAAAGACGATCGGGGTCCTCCGGGTCCCCTCCGACGTACTCTTCTCCCGCATAAAAGACAATAGGTTATTTTTGTTCAAAATTTCGGCAGCACCTCCCTCGCACGGGAGGTTTCCAAAACCTGCAAAAAAATGACTTGATGGTCGACATTCACAACGGCACGAAGGCCGACAACCACAACGGCACGAAGGCCCTCATATCAAGTTACGGCACGAAGGCCCACACAACCACATACGGCACGAAGGCCGACAATGAGAGTTTTACCTAGGGTTGCGGTGGAGTCGGACGTCACGGTGTGGGGGTCACTTTCTTCTCTGGCGAGGTCGAGCTGCGTTGGAGTACTCCTCTCCCCCTCTTCCCTTTCTTCTCTCCTTTTCCCCTTCTCCTTCTCTTCCCCTTCCTCCTTCTCTTCTTCTCCTTTTCTTCCCCTTCCTCCTTCTCCTCTTCTCCTTCTCTTCTTCCTCCAACTTCACCCTCTGCCTCCTCCTCCAACAACAAAGAATGGCGACGGGGCAGGCCTGGGGCTCAGGTCGGGGCGGAAAGGCCGGCGAGGGGGAGCCGCCGGAGGGCTTGCCGGGGCGGTCGACCTCCCCTTGCTCGACGGAGACGGGGAACGGAGGCAGGGCGTGACCTCGGCCGCCACTAGGCGTGGTGGGGCGGCGGGGCGCGCTGGTGGGGTGCCGAGGCGAGCTGGGCGGCCGAGCTGGCGGTGGGGGCGCACGGGTGGCCCGGGTCTTGGCAAGGCCTGTGATGGCGGGTGGTGGGCGCCGGGGCGACGGGCTGGGCTGCCAGGCTCGGGGCCAGGCTGGCGGCAAGGCGTGTGTGCGGGCGGTGGGAGGTGCTGGGGGCCACGGAATGGTCTTGTGAAGGTGGGGCACGTGGGCTAGCTGGGCTCAGCAAGCACAGTGAGAAGAATGGTCTGTGTGGCGGTGGACGCCACGGGGGGGCCAGGCCATGAGCGGGCGCGTGGGGAGGGAGAGGTCGACCGTTTTTTTTCACAATTTCTGATCGGGAATTTGGGCTGTGGCCCGATTTAGGGTTCGGTGATTTGCCGAGGGCCCAGATCCACGGCCCTTGGCAAAGATTTTTTATTTTTTTTTTAAATTATTTGCCGAGGGCCCAGATCCACGGCCCTCGGCAAAGATTTTTTATTTTTTTTTAAATTCTTTGCCGAGGGCCCAGATAAACGGCCCTCGGCAAAGATTTTTTATTTTTTTTAAAAAAATTCTTTGCCGAGGGCCACGGGGCAGGCCCTCGACAAAGGGCCCTCAGCAAAAAAATTTTTTTTTTTTTAGCCTAGTTTTTTTGTGGTGCTACAATACATTGTTTTGAACTCAATTTTAAAATTTAGGCCAATTTTGATTTTGTTTTGTATATTTCCTTAATTTATTTCGATTCTTTGATTTTTTTCGAATATGTCAAATTTGAACTGCAGGTGCATGGAATATTGCAATGTAGTGTTTCAAAAAATGTTATTCATGTTAATTGGTGCATGTTGAGTCCCTATCCACGACCCCGCATCAAA